TATCGCAAGATTTACAATTAACTAATTTTTTTAATGTTTTCAATAATTGTCTAGGATTGTTTTTAAAACGCTAAAGTTTATTAATAGAGTTTACAGTACTAACACTTCCTGCTAAGATTTAGTAGTAAATGTTAAATATTTTTAAAATACAGTGCACAAATAATTTTTAAATATTATATCTTCATATATATTAAGCTAAGAACTCTAGTTAAAATATGTCCAATTAGTAATGTGCAGGGAAAAATAGAAGGAAAACGGAATCCAGGCCGTAGAAGAATGTCATGGTTGCGGAATTTGAGAGAGTGGTTTGGCTGCACCACTAATAAACTCTTTAGGTCAGCCGTAAACAAGGTCAGAATAGCGTTGATGATTTCCAATCTCCGATAGGAGTGGCACAAAAAGAAGAATTAGTAATGAAACATCCTGTATATCGAGAAATTCTTTTAGGTTGAATCTAGTAATCAGCAAAATGTTACCGAAGAGCAGCCATCCCCTTCTCATAGTCATATTGTCGACAATAATCGATGAAAAATCTCGATTGGGTTGAAGTTTTTCAACAATTAAATGTTAAAAAAGGATAAAAGCGACTCAAGTAGTTGTTGAATGTTTGGGTGACAATTTCCTGACAGAATTATATGAAAAATTAAGAGTACCAGGAATGTTTTTTTCATTGATTGTGGATGAAACTACTGATATATCTGTAAAGAAACAGTGTACATTTACTGCAATATTTTTTGATGATAATTCCAACTCATTAAAAAGAAATTTGTTTGACATTGTGGAAAATACTGGGGGTACTGCATGTTCAATTTTTTCACATGAGAAAATTCATGTTATTTTTTCGCTGTATTAACTATCCTTTTATCACAATTTTACAATCATTATCTTAGTTCCACTCTTAATAACCCTTCCTACTTACATTTTACCTCCTCTCCATTAGAAATACAGACAGTTTCAAGATAGCAACGAAGAAAGACACTCTCTTGATGGTCGCTAAGGACAGATCATTCTCTCACTCTCTTAGTTTGGCCATCACTAGAGCCAGACGTTCTCTCTCTTGATCTCTCTCTCTTCGCTTACCAAGAAGAACAGCATCTATCTTGGCTGTTTTTCTATCGTAATTACCTCTTTCCCGCTTTAGTTACGCGAGAAATATCGAAAATACTGTATTAAATCGTGTGCAGACAAAGTGTGCTCTATATCGTGATATATTTGCCAAACACGTATTCAGAAACCGGTGCATCGGACAGATTTCGCGGGTGAAGAATAACCACGAGTGAAGACCGGAAACAACCGTGAGAGTGTGGAGCAGAAAAAATATTGGTAAGACTTTCTATAAACTTAATTTGCTATTGTCTGTATACCTTTTACTACTTCTCCTAATTTTATTGAACCAGCCCTATATAATACAGTCCACATACACGGAAATTATATTAATAATTTCCCACATATGTACACCCTTTTTGTACACTGCAGTTGAATTATATTCAACTTTAAAAGACATTATATTCTCCATGGTCAGTGCTGCTATATGGCGTAGAGGGCTGAACACTCAAAACGAGGGATATAAACAGATTAGAAGCTTTCGAAATGTGGCTTTATCGCCGTATCCTAAAAATACCATGGACAGCGAAAATCACAAATATAGATGTCCTTAAAAGAATAAACCAAGAACGCCAACTCTTCGAAACCACCAAGAAAAGGAAAACGGCGTATCTAGGTCACATCGTGCGAAATGAAAAATACCAGTTCCTCCAACTTATAATCGAGGGTAAAATTGAAGGTAAGAGAGGAATGGGACGAAAGAAAATGTCCTGGCTCCGAAACATAAGGCAATGGACAGGGATTAACGACATACAATCTCTGATACATATTGCAAGAAATAGAGAATTAATGGAAAATGTGATCGCTAACATCCATTAGTGGATTTGTATCCGAAGAAGAAGAAGATATTCTCCAAAGGTATTCCTACGTCTGATTTCAAGTCCTTTATAAAAGATTAAAATACCCTACCGGGCTACTATCGGAATTAATATTCCATCAAACATTTTGGACCATACTACAAACTTCACAGCAACCCATTAATACTGAGACTGTATGGTTTACCTAAAATACATAAGGAGGGCATTCCTATTCGTCCAGTTGTTAGTCTCATAAACACTCAAGTTTCTACTATCAAAATTCATATTGAATCTTATTAACAACTTGTCGAAATACCCCCCGCTTCTCAGTCAAAAACACCAGTCACCTAGTCAATATCCTACAACAGACTAATCTTCGCCCTAACACTACTATGCTTTCATTTGATATCAGCAATCTATTCACTTCTGTCTCTAAACAAGAAATAATTAATCTGATTCACTCTCTTCTGCTGAAAGAAATTTACGCCTGCTTTATCGATTTGGAAAAGGCCTTTGACAAAGTACAACATGAACCACTAAGACAAGTTCTAATAAAGAAAAATATAGACAGCCGAGATATTCGAATTATATGCAATCTATATTAGAATCAAACAGCAAATGTCAAGGTTGAGGGCAGACTAACAGAAGAAATTCAAATCCGTCGAGGAGTCCGGCAGGGAGGTATCTTATCGCCACTTTTATTTAATCTGTATAGTGAAGCTATCTGTGAACAAGCACTCGAGGAAGAAGATCTTGGTCTGATAATAAATGGTGAGACGATCAACAATATAAGTTATACTGACGATACAGTTCTCCTAATGGGAACGCTAGTAGAACTACAACATCTCGTTCAAAGTCTCAATATATATTGTAACAGTTACGGCTTGAAAATTAATTTGGAAAAAACTAAATTTATGGTAATCACGAAATCAAAGAACATCAGAGCTAATCTTGTAATAGACAATACAACGATTGAGCGTGTGCCCTGTTATAAATATCTAGGTGCTTGGATCACACACGATACTGATCAAACAAAAGAGATTAGATGTAGAATAGAAATCGCTAGATCAGTCTATAGAATGCCCAAACCCTTTTGCAATCGTGATATCAATATAAAGTTACGAATACGAATGCTACGGTGTTATGTCTTTTCTACCCTGTTATATGGAGTTAAGGCTTGGACACTAAAACAGTTGACCATAAAAAACATCGAAGCTTTCGAGATGTGGTGCTATAGGCGCATTCTCAGAATATCATGGATGGACCGCGTCACTAACACGCAAGTACTCCAAACTTTAGACAAAAGATGCGAAATTCTAAATGAGATAAAAACTAGAAAGATGGAATACTTGGGGCACATTGTGAGAAGTGAAAAGTACGAACATTTAAGAAACATCATGCAGGGCAAAATTAAGGGCAAAAGAAGTGTGGGAAGAAGAAAAATATCGTGGTTTCGTAATCTACGTGAATGGTTCGGGTGTAGTTCGATTGAACTTTTTAGGCACGCTGCTAAGAAAGTCGCAGTGGCCATGATGATTTACAATCTCCGCTAGGAGTTGCACGAGAAGAAGAAGAAGAACTCTCTTCTCAGAGCCAATTCCATCACCTTGCTATTACCAACTCTATTGTCCAACTATTACAACTTTGCTTAGTTTCAGATTTCTTTGGTTTTAACAACAAATACTACAGACAACCTGATGGCTTAGCCATGGGCAGCTGTCTGTCTCCTCTATTAGCTAATATATTTATGGATCATTTAGAATCCACAGAGATCATAAAAAATCCTAAAATACTCCATTGGTTTCACTTTGTTGACGACTGTTTGGTATTCATTTCAGGTAACTCCAATTCAGCTGAACTATTACTTTCTAAAATTAACAAAATCCACCCCAATATTAAGTTCACCATGGAACTAGAATTATCTAAGTCTATCAATTTTCTTGATATCACCATTACCAGATTAAATTAGTTTTACTTCGACTTCAGTATCTACAGAAAACCCACATAGGCCGACCATGTAGTACCCTTCTCTTCTAACCACCCTATGTCACAGAAATATGTAGCTTTTCACAGTTACATCCATCGCCTGGAAATCATTCCACTTTCTCAGTTGAACTATAAAAAATAATTTAATATTCTCAGATAAATAGCAGTCAATAATGGATATGATCAAAACATCATTCATAAACTTATCCATAGAAGACGTTTTAAAATTCTGCAAGAGACTGCGTTCCCCAGAGACCTTACCACTAAACTCAATTACGTTTCACTTCCATATCATCACGAGAGTCTTTCTGAAGATATTCGAAATCTCACTAAACGTTCAATTGAAAATATCCACGCGTCTTTTAAAGTGCCCAATAATTTGGGTCAGTGTATATCTAATTCCAAAGATCCCATCAATTATATGAACCGTAGTGGTGTTTATAGTCTGAAATGTTCAGATGGTGATGCCAGCTACATAGAAAGAATGTGTAGATCATTGTCTTCACGCTCTTTAGAGCACACAAAAAGAGAAAACACTTCCACTTTCTCACAACATCTAAAAGAACATAACCCTCAACATCACAGAAGATGTATCACTTATTCACAATAATGCAAAAAAACTTCGTCAAACTAGACTTATATGAAGATCTTGAAATTATCAAAGAAAAACAAAAGTTCAAATTGTGTTAATCGCCATGTCTCATTCAATTTGATGGATGCTTGATTTTTCATTATTCTGATTATCGTGTATGTGTATGGTATATTTTTTATTTGATATTCTAAAATTATAATACTTGATTTATTTTAAAAATATATAGCACTTGCTTTATAATTTCATTTTTTTTTGTTTGTAAATTTATTTTCCTATTGTCTACTTTTTCCTCAAGCGCAACTATAAAAAATACTTTGAAGCCACTTTAAATATATTTAAATATTTTGTTAAATAGTCCTGAGATATTGTATTAAAATATATTTGTTTAAGTAGAGAGAAAATCTAATAAATTGTAAAAACATGCATCAGCTTAAGCAAATTAATTTTTTTATTCCTCTAATACTCATGTCTTAATATTAATGACATTTTCTTTGGAAATCACAGAAATGATTAAATTTTAGGTTTTGTATTTACCACTGCCTTATGGGTTCAACCGCTACTTTCCTCGGAAATTACTTTTCCATTGCCATCACTCTACCCTTCTGGTTGGGTCAACGATTATACATTTTGGTTGTTCTACGGTCTACAAGCAATATATCTTATATTCGTAATACTTGTCGGAACTGGATCGGCGGATTTTTTAATACTTTCAGTATGTATTTACACAGCCAACCAATTTTACCTACTTCAACAATGTTTTCTTGTTTATAACACCGATGAGATGGCAGAAGTTAATAAGAAACTAAGAGCTCTGGATAAGGAAGACATGCAGAAATACTATGGTTATACAGAAAAAGAATATTTGGTTAGATGCGTGAAGCATCATGCAATGCTTTTAAGGTAATTTGTTTTCAGCTATTTTTTTTAGTTTATTCTATATCTATTTTATCTAACGCCTATATTACACGAACATTTGCTTTTAAAACAGCGCTTTTAAAACGCGACGCTTTTTTAACGAGTCGTTTTTTATTTCAAACGTTGATCGTTCGACCTTAAATACACGATTTTGTTTTTAAGTAAACTATGGATTTGACCATTACTTGATGGAAGTTTTTTTTTTTTTTTATTTTTATTCATCCGCATCAACCACTAGGGTTATTAGCGGTAGGTTTATGATACAAAGATAGAAAATAAGATACATTTTAAAAGTCATGACTTACAACATATGGTATTATGTACATGTATGTAAATGTAACAAAAATTAAATCACAATTTATTATAGAGTTTACAGTGTTTTAAAAAAGACAGAACTTCATTGAATTTTGTAAACAGTGCTTCTTTCAGGCTGTTGGGTATCTTGAATATCGCCTTGGCTGAGGTGTACTCTGGACATTCTATTAATATATGGTTGACTGTGAAAGGTGTTTGGCATCTTTGGCACATTGGTAGTGGTTCTTTGGATATTATGTAGCTGTGTGTAAGTCGTGTATGCCCAAGTCGGAGTCTGCTGATAATTACCTGGTCTTTTCGTTTTGGTGGTATACCAAGATTTTTTGAGGATACGTCTGGTTTGATATTTTTAAGATTTGTGTTTGTTTGATCCCATATTTCTTGCCATATTTTATTCATATGAGTCTTTAATAAAGTCTTAGTATCTGATATTGGTTTATCTGTTGTAGTCGGAATGTTCACATTGTTTATTGCTTCAAACGCTGTTTTGTCTGCTAGCTCATTACCAGATATTCCGACATGGGATGGGACCCACATAAATGATATAATTTTCCCAGAAAATTGGAGCTGTTGCAACGCGTCCTTAATTAGGAATAGATTGATGTGTGTGGGATAAACATGTTTAATGGCCTGTAAAGAGCTTAATGAATCTGATAATATTAGAATTTGTTTTTCATTTATGGTTTTACAATGATTTAGTGCGTCAAGTATTGCTTGGAGTTCTGCGGTATAAATACTACAGCCGTGAGTTAATCTAGTGGCAGAAATTAAGTTTTCTGATACAGTAGCAGCTGCTACTCCGTTGCAAGTTTTGGAGGCATCAGTGAAGAACAATTTGTGAGTGGAATATTTGAGTAAATTTGTATGATACTGAAGCCTGATCTCTGCAGAATTGTGTAAATGCTTATTATGATTAAGTAAGGAGAGGTCTACTATTGGTAAAGAAACTGTCCAGGGAGGTGTCTGGTATATTTTTATAGGTGCCAAGGTAATTTGATTGATATAATACGGTAATCTTTTAACTCGTTTGTAAAATGGTACTGTCTTGGTGGTGTAATTTGTGTATTGTTCTAGTGATTCTTCCGATACTAAACTTGCGAGAAAGGTATGATCCTTTGCGCTTAGAATTCATGAAGCGTAGCATAGTGATAGATATTGTCTTCTGAGGTATAGTGGCATTTCTTCTGCTAGCACTTGAAGGCTTCTTATTGGAGTAGTTCTAAAGGCCCCAAAGATTAGTCTTAGAGATGTGGTTTGAATAACGTCCAGTTTTTTTAGTTGATTTTTATTTGCTGTTTCATAACAGATGCATCCGTAGTCGAGTTTGCTTCTTATTAACGTCTGATATAAATTAAGAAGAATTTTAGTATCTGATCCCCATTTATGATTGGATAAAACTGTTGTTGACAGGATTTGATTAAATTGTTGATATGTGAAGTCCATGTGAGTTGTGAGTCAAATATTACACCCAAAAATTTGATTTCGCGGACTTGTTTTAGAGGATGGCCATTTAGATACAAGTTTAAGTTGTATTGTGCTCTTCGTTTGTCAAACATTATTACTTTAGTCTTCTCAGTTGAAAAAGTTAAACCAGTCTCTAAAGACCACATTTCTAAGCTGTTTAATGTTCTCTGTAAAATTTGCGTAGCTAATTCTATATTTTTACTTTTAACATATATTACTAGATCATCAGCAAAAAGATTAGCTTTTACGGGAAGCTTTATGTGGTTTGTTATATTATTTATTGCGATTAAGAATAATAGTGGACTTAAGGCCGATCCTTGAGGAATTCCATTATGAAGTTATTTCGATGTTGACATGAATCCATTCGTTTTTACTTGTATGGACCTGTTTTGAAGAAAATTTTTGGTGAAAGCGAGAAAGTTGCCATCTATTTTCCAGTTTTTCATAATTTTTAGGATATAATGCTTCCATGTTGTGTCGAAAGCTTTTTTAATGTCGAAAAATATTGCAATTACTTTTTGTTGATTTGTAAATGCTTTATGTATTTCGGATTCTAGTGCAACAATGTTATCAACTGTCGAACTGTTTGAGCGGTATCCGCTTTGTATTGGAGTAAAAAGTTTTTCCTTTTCCAAGTGCCATTTCAGTCTTTTACTCAATATTCTCTCCATTGCTTTGCAAATTTTACTGGTGAGAGATATTGGACGATAGGAGGATGGTAAGTTTTTTGGCTTATTCATTTTTAAAGAAGGAATTATAATTGCTTGACGCCATATTGAAGGAAACGTTTTATTTGTGTAAATATTGTTAAAGATGTCAACTAAAATTTTCTTTACTGTTTCAGGTAGTTTCTCAATAAATATTGTTGGAATATCATCAGGTCCTGAAGAAGTTTTTTTAGCATTGCCTAAGCTTTCGTTTAACTCCTCTATTGTAATCGGTATATTGAGAGGGCATAAAATATCTTCTATTTTGATTTGTGATAATTCGGTTTTTTCTTTGTGTTTTAAAAATGTAGAGTTGTATTGATCATTGCTCGAATATAGTTGATAGTGATCAGCTAAGATTTCTACAATTTCTAGTTTATCTGACGTAATTAAGTTATCAGTAGCAATGGTGTCAATATGATTAATTTTTGGTTGAGCCTTTTATTTTCCTTATTTTCTGCCAAATATCACTTATTGGTGTAGATGAATTTATTGATGAGACATAATTGGCCCAGCTTTCTTTTTTAGATTCTTTGATTAGAAATCTGGACCTGGCTCTTAACGCTCTAAATCTAGTGAAGTTAGTTTCGGAATTGTGTTTTTTCAATATATTAAAGGAGTGTTTTGTTTGTTTCAAGGAAGTTTCTATTTCGATATTCCACCAGGGCAGAGGTGTTTTTGTGGTAGCTTTAGTTTTTCCAATCGCTTCTCTGGCTGAATCTATTAGGATATCATTAAAATTTGATATTGTGATGTTTATATCTGCTAATATTTTGAAGTCTTTCATCCGTTCAGTTATTAAACTAGTATACTTTTCCCAATCCGCCGATTTTAATTTCCATGTTTCATATGGTTTTGTATTAACCTTTGTGTCTTTAATATGAGTAATCAAAATTGGTAGATGGTCGCTGTCAAATAAGTGTGAAAGTGTATTCCACTCAAGTAGTGGTGCTAAAGTTGAATTGCTGAGGGATAAATCGATGGTTGAAAACTGGATCGATGGTTGAGGGATAAATCGATGGTTGGTGCCATTGTATGAGTTGAAACGGGTAGGCATTCCTGTGTTTAATAGCACCATTTTAAGGTTGTTAATTATTTCTAATAGAGTTTTGCCATTTTTGTCAGTTTTCAAAGATCCCCAAGATTCGTTATGACAATTTGTGTCAGCAAGAATTAGTTTAGGAGATGGAATTTGTTCTATCACTTTTTGTAGTTCCAGGAGTATGGATTCTTCCGGATGTGGTAAATATACACTGCAAATGTTAATTTTGAAATGATGAATTATTGATACTGCAACAGCCTCCAGAATTGTATTTAACGGAATTTCTTTGGATTCGACCGTAGATTTCACAAAGATGCCAACACCACCACTAGCTATTTGCTGCACTGGTCTATTTCTGATGTATGGTGTATAGTTTTTCAATTTTACATTATTATTAGAAAGTCGTGTTTCTTGTAAACATATTACTAGAAGTGAGAATTCATTGATTAATATTTTTAAGTTTTCGATGTGGCTGTAAAAGCCATTCAAATTCCATTGAACTATGAATTTGGTTATTGGATAGAGTTGCTGTCGCTTTCTTCCTCAGTAATAGAAGAGTTGTCTGTTCCATGTATCTTTTTTAAGATTCTTGAAATGTTGTTTTTAAGACGTCGATCGTTTGTGTTTGTGTGTACCATTTGCAATTCAGCGCTAAGTCCTTGTAGGTCATTTGTATAATCCTTTGCTACGTTTTCAGGAAACTTTGAACCTATAGCATTTGTAATATAGTCGCATAGTTCTGTGTATCTTAGTGTGTAAGGAATAGTAGCTGACGATAAAATGGCTTCTATAGGTTTCATTCAGGTTTCGATGTTCAAAGCTTTTTTAATCCTTTTAGGTGCAGATTTCTTTGGAGCAGGAATTATTATTTTTTGATTTTCTGACTCTATTATTTCAGGAGATGTTGACATTTGTCTTTTTATAGAAGTGTGTGATATTATGTTGGTATTATTAGATAGTGATTCAGGTAGGTTTTGTGAGTTGGAGGAGGTATTTGGTAGTGATCTGGTTGAAAAAGTAGCAGCAGGAGTACTGGATTGATGAGCAGTTGGGGTTTTTGATGTAAGGGATGTTTTATTTATTGGATAATTTTCTGTTTCAGAAATATTAACATTTATAGATTGAGATAGCTGGTCAATATTTTGTAAATTAATTGGTTCGATAGTGCAGTTTTCATCTTTGTGTCCTGTGGTATTACATTTAGAGCAATTTAGGCCATCTAAGGAAAGATAAATTCTGTAGGGGGTATTGTCATGAGATGTTAGAAGTGAATTTGGGATATGATTATTAGTTGTTGGAGCAACAAATACTTGACGTCTAAAGCTTAATATATGATTGTATTCAGATTCAGGCATGCCAACTTTTAAAAATGTTATTTTAGATACTGCAATAAGCTCCAATTTTTTGAGCTCTTCTTCGATAATAGTGTTTGGAATACTGGGGCAGACATTTGATATCACT